ATCAGTGTCCCAGAGGTAGGATGAGTCCCTTGCTCCCCAAGTAAAGCTACAGCTAACATTTCAGACCTAATTCTAAGTTATTATCTTGGCAACAGTTAGACATTAAATCCTAAAAGTCAACCTTGCTGGGGCTGGCACTGTGGCACAGTGGGTTAACGCCCTGGCCTGCAGCACCAACATCCACTATGGACGCCAGTTCGAGACCCGGCTGCTCCACTTCCGATCCAGCTCTCTGCTATGGCCTGGGAAAGCAGGGAAGATGGCCCAGGTCCTTGGGCTTCTGCACCGGCATGGGAGACCCTGAGGAAGCTCCTGGCTCCTGGCTTTGGATCGGTGCAGCTCTGCCCATTGTGGCCAACTGGGGAGTGGACCAGCGGATGGAAGTCCTCTCTCTCTCCTTCTGCCTCTCCTCTGTATAACTCTTTCAAATAAATAAATAAATCTTAAAAAAAAAAAAAAAAGTCAACCTTGCCAACCTCTCCATATCAGTCAGAATCCTCTCCTCAGACTGGAAGAAGCCTTCAGCAAAGAGGAATCACCAGCACAGACAGCAGACATTAATCTCTGCACCCCACCCACACGCCCCCCAGATATCTCCAGCAGGCTGTATCAGGAGGGCCTGAAGGCAAGGGTCTGGGGATCTGGTTCCAGGCCTTCCATCTGAAACATGGTTTCCACCCCTCTTAAGTAGTCATCAGCCTTTTCAATGCCTTTGGCCTGGAAAACTGAATAATAAAAAGCAGAGAACAAAATCCAAGGGAGAGTAGCCTCACAGAGAATTTATATAAATTAAAGGTGCTTCAAACACTAAAGGCTGCCCACATCTTGACGGAGAGTGCGAGAGATCAAAATCATTACTCTCTGAGGTAGGAAGGGAAAATGTTTGGAAATCTGTGCTAAATTTGAAGCAAAGACTATGCAGAGGAAATAAAGCTTGGTGTCACTTAACAAACAAATGTGCTATTTCAAAAGATATAAAACAAGAAATCCAGAAATGGACAGCGCCCAGAAGAGGGACCTTTTGTAAGGCTTTTCCAAGCTATGTTGATTTATTACAGCTTGACTAGAAACGAACAAATTAGCAACAGCTTGTGTTTTATGAATTGTTACAAACAGTGCTATCATTCCAAGTGTTACTCTGAAGATGTGGAACCAGAGAAATTTCTGCCATAGATCTTAGTGCACTTAATTTTCTTCCAATGACACAAGGGCCCTCACTGAATCTGTTAGGAGCTCACTGTTGCTTTTTCAAGGCTAGCTTTTCAGGTAACCTAGATTCACTCTTAACATTTCAAATTGCCCATATTCCTAATGGCAATGCATGGCTGCTTTTAAGTCAAAGATCCCTTATAAGGACCTGAAGAAACTCAACAACAAAACAAATAATCCAATTAAGAAATGGGGTAAGGATATGAACAGGCATTTTTCAAAGGAGGAAATACAAATGGCCAACAGACACATGAAAATATGCTCAGGGTCACAAGCCATCAGGGAAATGCAAATAAAAACCGAGGTGAGGTATCACCTCACACTAGTTAGAATGGCTATCATCCAAAAATCAAAAAATAACAAATGCTGGTGAGGATGTGGAGAAAAAGATATCCTAATGCACTATCAGTGGGAATTAGACTGGTACAACCATTATGGAAGGCAGTATGGAGATCCCTCAGAAAATTAAAAATAGATCTGCCATATGACCCAGCTATTCTACGCTTAAGAATATATCCAAAGGAAATAAAAATCAGCACACAAAAGAGTTACCTGCATTCCCATGTTTATAGCAGCTCAATTCACAACAGCTAACACGTGCAATCAACCAAGCTATCACAACTGATGACTAGATAAATAAAATGTGGAATATTATTCAGCCATAAAAAAGAATGAAATCCTGATATTTGCAACGAAATGGGTGCAACAGAAGATGATTATACTAAGTGAAATAAGCCAGGCCCAAAAAGACAAATATCACATATTTTCTCTTATTTGTGGTACTTAATATAGACAGTATACAAATTATGTGAATGCCTTATCATTTGGTATTAGTTATAAATACTGTTTCACTGGATCATTCATATAAATGACAATATACTTTTCTTCTTTCCTACATTAAAAAAAGGAGAAAGAAGTGGAGGTGGGGGAGCAGTGAGGACTCTTGAGGTACTAGTAATGTTTTGTTCTTAATCTGGGTGTTGGTTGTAAATGTGACCAGAGGACATAAATCTCACTTATCTGTACACTTTTGTACATTTCTTGGCATGTCTACTGTATTTCAATAATTTTTTTTATTAAAAAACATTTTAAACAAGTTGGAAAATGTTCCAGTGGACTGAAAAAGGGCAATAAAATCATTTTTAAAATAAAAGAGCAAAAAAAAAAGACTGTCGTGATTCACTAGTAAAACTGACAGTAACAACTTGTTTGTCCAGTAGCAATGAAAGAACAGGAAAAAATACATTTCAAAATAAAATGTCATGAAGGGTTGGGGGGCAATTCAAAATGACTACACAGAATTAGCCAGGGAAAATAGTATGGCACCATTATCCCTCGCCTGGATGTTAGGTCCGTTGAGCTTCAGCTTGAAAAGTCAAATCACACTCTTTCGAGATTTATGGTCCTGGGAGACTGGTCATCACCTGGGCTCTAAAGAAGTCAGCAGTGACCACTTTAGAACACAAGGGCATTTGAGACCCCAGGGCCCTAAGCTCAGAATCTGACCTCAAAAAACAAGGGGTCACTTGACTTTTACAAGATACAACCAAGTTTGCATGCAAAAAGGAAAGATAAATTCCTTTGAGTCTTTAAAAAAAATAGGACAATAGTTTGCTTCAAAAAAACCAATTTTGTCAATCCTTAAAGGCTTTCTGTGACAAAGTCCCAGGCACCCTTAGGGCATCTTGGCTCCCTGCTATTGAAGAACTGAATGAGGACAGCTAATTTATCAAACCCCAAGACCAGGTCCCATAAGCCTATTAAGGACTGGGGTATTGATATAAACAGTTGTCAAAGGGATAAACCAGATCAGAGCATGCAAGACTAAATAAGATCCCAAATAAACGCCTCTCTGGAGTCTATGAGCAATGCTGAGATTCAGAAAGAAGGGACTAAGTTTGAAAGTTATTTTAAAATAGGATCTATTTGACCTAACTTGGTAAAACGACAGAGCTCCATCAACACTACATGATACACAAGGACAAGAAAGCTGACCAGCCTACAAAACTGCAAAGATTGAAAACCTTTTCTAAAAGCCAGTTCTACAGATTTTTTCCCAAGCATGTTAATTCTTGAATATCACCTATACACATATTTACAGGTATGGAGATCCACAGACACATCACACCTACACTATATCAAATATGATACTTCTGAGTGATTCCTATACAGTTTGAGCATCCCTAGTCTAAAAACTCCAAAATCTGACATGCTTCAAAATCCAAAAATTTTTGAGTTAACCATATGACACAGTGGAAAATTCCACACTTGATCTCATGTGATGGGTCACAGTTAAAATATAGGTGTATTAAAAATATTGCATAAAATGACCCTCAGGCTATTTGTATAAACTGTATATGCAACATAAGGGAATTTTAAATTTCGACTTGGGTCCCATCCCCAAAGCATTTTGATATGTATAAGCAAATATTTCAAAATCTGAAAAAAAAATCCAAAGAAATCCAAAACATTTCTGACCCCAAGCCTTGCAAAAACAGGAAAACTGTACTAAAATATAAGCTTTTCTGAAGAATGTACAGTCACAGAATTGTTGTTACAAGTGTTTAGCAATCCCTTATTGCCTTGCACTCAGAAAATGTTAGTGAAAGTTAATGATGATAGGATCCTGAGTGCGCCAAACTCCTTTAGAACAAATTCATCATTTAGAGCTTTCTACAAAACAGAAATTGAAGATCTTACAAAAGGATTCACAATGGATTTCTCTGGGTTGCCAGATAACTTGAGCTATTATTCAAACTACACAAAATTATCTTATATACATATCTCTTGTAGAAAACAATTGCGTGTTAACATCTGTCCAGACACCACACAGTTCTTGCCTGCTGCATAGCCAACATACTTGCAGATGTCCTATCTTTACGGTTATCCTTATTTTAATCGGTTGAAGTTAAACCCAAGTTGGTTATTTTGCTGGATGAAACCAGGACATTTTTCCACGTCTGAAATGTGTGTTTGACATCCTCAAAACTGGTTTATGGGCCCTACAGACATCAACAGTGTGTTTTGCTCCCCCTATTGGCTAACAGTCAAAATAACAATGCACTCCCCAGGGACCGCCTTTGAAGTATGGGGGTTCAAAAGTGAGGTGGTGATTTTTATATCTAAAAACAAGAGCTGAATCAACAGTCGTTACGCAAAGTTGCCATGCAGTGGACAGATTCCATCAAAACAGGAAAAATTAAAGTTGACAAATGACAAACTGAAGGGCATACGCACACACACACACACACACATATACACTGAAGCCTTGAAACACTAAACAATGCAAAATTGAAGCCAAAAGCAGAGAACACCAAGAAAAAGAGCAACGTCCTCTGACTGACACAATAGCACGAAATCAATTTCATTTTAATAACCCATAAGGGGGTAAGAATTATTTCCCCACCTCCTGTGCCAACCTCAAGCTGCTTCCTAAGGAAGCCAAGTAATGGTGCTCCACCATGTCTGGACAATTAAGAAAAGGAATTAAGACTAAAGAGCCGCATTCATTAGGACAAGTCAGAGTTCTCGTTATAATTACTTGGAGCCAGTGTCAAAGCAGCTAGCTGTATTTCGGCATCCCTGATCGCCAATCCCCTAAGCGCCTCACAGATCCCGCACCCGTATTGCAAAGGATAGGTGTTCACCTCCAGGGGAGAAGGCGCAGGGACTCCCAAAACGGACCGCACTGGCTGGTCTCCCGCCGGGCAGCGAGCTAGCGCCCGAGGCAGAACCACCAGAAAGTGACGCACGCTCTCAGGCAAGGTCACTTAACCTCCGGAGTCCCGTACCGTAAAAGGTGTTTTCACCTCAGAGCTGGTGTGAGGCGGCAGCGCGACCGCGTCCCCACCACAGCGTGGCTGGCGGGCACGCAGTAGAGCCCGATAAACGCCAGTTGTCGCTGTTACCCGGGCGCGCGGGTTCTCCCCGCAGTAACCGCGCGCAGGCTGAAGCCCCGCTTTGGGAAGATGAAAGGGTCTTGACGCGGGTGTGGGCGTCTTGCGAAGCCTTCTCTCGTCCCAAACCCGCATGTTTCTTCCAAGGGAGACCACGGAACTCGGGCAATGCCTGGTCACGCTCGCAGCTGTCACCCGCGCCGGCCCCGACCTTCCGCGCTGCGCTCGTGGCCCGTGCCCGCACCCGTGCCGGTGCCCGCAGCATCATCTTGGTAGGAGGCAGCAACCCGTTCGGCCGGGACTGCTACTCCCACTTCACAGCTCGGGAACAGGAGCCAGTTTCTGTCCCCTGGCTCTCTGGGTGGCCATCAAACCCATGGGGTTGCACTCTGCCGAGGTCAGTAACTGGGGCTCCACACGCCGGCTCCCTACTTTCTGGGGATCTGGAAAGTGGGGGCAGATGCCCTAGTAAGACCAAGTTTGCAGGAGGATTCTCCTAGCAACAGTCCAAAATTTCCAAGTGCGTCCAAACCAAATGAACACCCTAAAGGGAGCCTTCGAACGCCACCGGGACGCGCGGCTCCGACATCTGGGATCCCAGCTGCAGAGCACCCCGAGGGCGCGGCCGTGGATCCGGGGGCGGCGGCAGCCGAGCCCAGACCCACAACAAACCTGGCCCATCGACCTGTCACGCGGCTGGAGGGTAGGGGCCGGCGCCCGCCGCAGGGGTCGGAAGGCACCGCGGAGCCCAGAGTGCGGGCGGCCGGGCAGACGCCGAGGATCCCTCCCCGCAGCGCGCATCGCCCCCGGAGCGCTGCCCGGCCCCGGGAGCCGCTCCCACGCACCGCCGGCCCCGGGTCCCCGCCCGGCCCACGCCGCCCTCCCCGGGCCGCAGAGCGGGCACCGACAGTCCACGCAGCGCCACCGGCCCGCGCAGCCTGCAGAGCCCGCGGCCCCGGGCAGCCGCCCCAACGGGCTGCAGCGGCGCGGGACCGGCAGGCACGTACCTCGCAGGCGGCGCGTCCCGCGGACCTCAACCGCGGCAAGTTGTAGGGACGCAGAGCAAAGTTTTCCCCGCCCAGCGCTCGGCGGCCGCGAGCTCCGGCAGCTGCTGCGCCGCGGCGCAACTACGCCATCCGGAGCCGCCGGGCGCTTTCACCTCCTGCCGGGAGCTCCGGGAATCGCGCGGGGCTAGCGGCCGGGCGCGGACCCGCAGGCTGCCCTCGCTCACTGGCTGCGGAGAGGAAAATAAGCCTCGGCGTCCCCGAAAGACGCGAGTACCCTCATCGGGCCGACCCCGCGCGCCTGCTCTCCCTCCCGCGCGGGCGGGGACGGGCCGGGCGCCACAGCAATCAGCGTGCGGGGGGAAGGGGCTCCGGCCGCCCGAGACCCCGCCCCCCGCCTCCTGTCCCCGCCCCCTCAGCTCCGCGGCGGATGGACGAGCCCCGCGCGGCCCGGGCCAGCCTTTCCCTGCGGGCCGAGGAGGCTTCGAGCCGAGGACAGCGCGGGAGGAGGAGAGAGGCCGCGGCCGGCCCCGGCGCACCCACGTCGGTGTCCGGAGGAAAGAGTGGAGGGTGCGGGCAGGAGCTGGTCTCACCCGGCCCCTCAAACTTTCCGGGGCTCTCTGGAGGAGGTGGAGTTTTATTGGGCTTAATAGAAAAAAAAAAAGGTTTGGAGCCTCAGAGAGTGCGATCGTGCCCTCCTGCCCGTTCCGCAGCCCGGCCCCCACGCACGCCTTCATTCTGTCTCGGTTTGCTTTGTCCCAGCCCCCAAGTTTAAGGATTACCCACAGAGACGATCGGATGGTGGGGCCCAACGAAGCCGTGCTTCTTGCCCCCTAGCAGAGAGGGTGCATTCCCCAGCCCTTTCTCTGCTAAAGAAATTAATTCCAACCCTGGAGTGAGGTCCACGGACCGGGCGTTGCTCAGAGGTAGGCGCAGCGTCTAGCGCACACAGGCCTGCGCGCTGCACCCTGCTGAGCTGTCTGCGCGCCCCGAAACGCCCCCTTTGAAACTCCTGTTTATCTCCCCCGCCTTCAGTTCTCTCTTAAATGGTGTGCTTCGGTAGGGGGACAGTGTGACACACAGCCGCGGAAAGGACCGCGCGCCCACTGCGGTTCCACACACCGAACTGGCAGTCTCGATTCTGCCATTGCGCTGACTATGGGAACTCGCACCTACAGCTCAAACTGCAGGCTCGCTTCCCGCCGAGCTCGGCCTAGGAGGCCTCCTCCAGATCTGAAGTGTCAGGCCTTTTACAGGGGGCAGCGTGGGATGGGGAGGCCCCTTGGATTAAGACTTCCATTGTCACCTGGACAGTGAGCCGCCTTCCCGGTTTCAGAGAGAAGTCTTTCTCACCTTCGTTCTCTTGTACCTGTCCATAGAAAAGCCACCCAACTGCAGCTTCATTCAAAAGGGTGACATGCCCTTGATCACCTGAATACCTGCAGGGCCCTCTTCCCTGACTCCTTCGTTCCCTGCATTGTAGATTTCACCCGCTGGCTGAGAGACCTGCACCTGCACTGGGGCTACACACAGGCACAAGGCCCTCCCAGGAGAGCCTAGGTGGTTAGCCTCAGCTTTGGCCTATTGTGGCCTTCTCACCTGGACTCAAATAACAGCGAGTCAGGCCTCAAGAGACCGGGTCTTAGTTTCAAGTGCAGGCATGTATGCTTGAACTGAGTGGGATTGTTTAATCCCACATTAAACTGTATCAGCCATGTTGAGGGGGCCAGGACCCAAACTTCCATCCAGCCCAGAGCCCAAACCCTCAATGTCACCTAAAACTTTTACATATTGGCAAAATTAATCAGTTGCTTTGTTTTGTTTAATTCAGGGGTAACTCATTTCAGGAAACTGTAACAGTGTTTACAAAACTAACAATGTCCACAGAGGCCTCATCCCTTTCAATCTTTACACCACCATGTGATATTATTAGCAGAAATCCTGACGGCTGAGCCAAGGGCATAGGTTTAAATGAACTTAATTTTTGGTTCCCAGGCAAAGTTCTAAAAAAGTATTTTCCTACTTTTCATTAATTGCAATGTCAGCTGATCTGTGAGATGATCTTCTTTCATTTGGTTTCTCGAGATCTAGGACTGCACTGGAATCACAGTATTTGTTACTGTAAGGTACCAGCTCCCTTTTGGTCCAAGGTGCAAGGTGGCATCTTAGTCATCTGTTCGGAAGTGTTTTTTTTTTTTTTTTTTTTTTTTTTTTTTTTTTGACAGGCATAGTTAGTGAGAGAGAGAGAGAGAGAAAGGTCTTCCTTCCGTTGGTTCACCCTCAAATGGCCACTTCAGCCGGCACGCTGGGCAGATCCAAAGCCAGGAGCCAGGTACTTCTCCTGGTCTCCCATGCGGGTGCAGGGCCCAAGGACCTGGGCCATCCTCCACTGCCTTCCCGAGCCACCGCAGAGAGCTGGACTGGAAGAGGAGCAACCGGCGCACCAACTGGGACTAGAACCAGGAGTGCTGTCACCGCAGGCGGAGGATTAGCCTACTGAGCCGCATCGCCAGCCTCAGAAGTGTTTTCAAAACCAATTGAGAGCAGGCAAGGGCAGGGGAGTGGCGGTGAACTCACCCGCATAAGAAATGTTTTACTGCAGAGCACCTCAGAGATTTACTGAAGCTGTGTCTCCTAAGGCATTGCTCCTGTTCCAGGCGTGGACCCACTCATTTACAGTAACGCATACTTAGGGGGCTGTCTCTAGGTTCTGTGGATTAAGCAGATGACTGAGCAGATGAATAATAACCTTGTGACTATATTTAAGGAGTACAGTGTGACATTTCTTTTCTTAATGTTCAGTTATTTATTTTCATCCACTTGAAAGGCAGAGCAACAGAAAGAGTCAAAGACAGAGTAAGATCTTCCATCTGCTGGTTCACTCCCCAAATGCCTGCAACAGCAAGGGCTGGGCCAGCCTGAAGCTAAGGGCCCAAACACTTGAGCCATCCTCCGCTGCCTTCCCAGGTGCATTAGCAGAAAGTTGCCTAGGAAGCAGAGAAACCAGGACTCTAACCGGTGTTCTGATATGGGATGCAAGTGTCTCAGGTGGTTGCTTAATGCACTGCACCCCAGCCCATGAAACACGGGGAGTGGGAGTTTCAATACACAAATACAAGATGATTAGCATTTCCATCTCCTTATCACCTCTTTCACTTTGGAGCTCCTCTCTTCTAGCCCTTTATAAAATGCATGCTAGGTTCTTGCTCTCTACAGATACTGTAATATGTTGTAGAACACTAGAACTTAATCTGCCTCCCTTGCTGTCAATCTAAATAAAAGTAAACAACAAAGAGAGAGAGAGAGAGATTCTCCAAAGAATCTTCACAGCTGCTTGGTAATATGCTTGCCATAGCACACTAGGACATATTCAAAGAAGTATCAGCAAGGGAAAATTTTTAAAGGCAAAAATGAGAATTACATCAGATATTTTGAAACAAGACTCTTTGGCCGCAATGAGTAATAATGAGGGTGACATTAGCCCAAGGTTGGAACGGACAGTTGCTGCCAGATGTCCTTGTAGCTGTCCTTTTTGTATAAGGTTGCACTGGCCTCTGTGTAATGTTACGGTTCCGGCAGAGTCTTTTGTGATGGTTACTATCAGGCAATGGTGCTTAAGAACACTTTCTTCATAACCTCCAGCTTCATTTATTTTTGTTTTTTGTTAGGATTGACATAAGTGAATCCATCTGGATTTTGACAACCCTCACATAACTGCACAACACCTCAATTTTCTAAAAGACCATGTCAAGAGGAAAAAATCATTTAGTTGTTTCTGTTTCTTAACAGGTCCAAAGGAGTACGCAGCACATGCTTCCCACCTGTATGGGTCAGAGAGAGACAAATAGTTAGAGCGATCCATGAGAGGGGATTCAGCTCCTGTGAAATGGCAGTGGAGAAGTCCCCCAGTGGGTCCCCTGCAGGCTGGAGACCCTAGGGTGCCAGTAGAAAGACTCAATCCAAGTCCAAGGGCCTCAGCTCCAGACTGAAAGCCCGAGGTTCCGGCAAGGAGGCCACTGGGGTCCAGAGGCCAGAAAGTGACATCCGAGGCAGGAGCCCAGCGCGTCCCAGCTTTCAGAGAAAGACACTGACTTGCCCTCTAGATGCATTCTCTCCAGCCAGCAGCCAGTTGGTAGTGCT